TAAATACTATTAGAATAATTAAATAAGTTTACCACTTTCATCGGCGAACAACCAAACCCTTGGAACCTCGACCTTCCACCATTACTGATGGCGTAAGACTATGCCTTCACCATATTCACTACAGTGGGGTAAGACTATGCCTTCACCATATTCACTACAGTCAAACCCTAAACCCTAAACCCTCCAAGATCATAGTAAGGGCAATCCACAGCAAGACCTTTTTCCTAAAACAGTTTGGACGTGATTGCTGTCCCATGTTCGTCCGTAATTCCGTTTCGGTACGTCAAAGAAGTGCCATTGGAGATCTTTTCCCCGAACCTCGGATCTCCCTGCCGTGTACTTGTATTCAACAAGAACAACAACCCGGAGAAAAAACACATATGAAACCAATGAGCAGCAAAAGCGGTCCACAAAGTGACAAAAGAAAAGAAGAAGATGCGCCATCATCGTCAGGTCTTATATGCTCACGATCTGATGTTTCTGACTCCGATGATGCCCAGGATCCGAAAAGGCCAGCAGTGAGTATGCCCTCAGCAACACCAAAGTACATCAATGTACTTGTATTCAAACGTGTGGCAAAGCAGTGCCCCTAAACATTGCATGCTTCTCAAAGTGGTGCGCATCCCGCTACTACCAACCCCCTCCCCAAATTTCCATGGGCCTGGATGAAGCGTCACGCAAGGACCGGGGCCATGCTGCACCCCCAAACATTGCACACTTCACAAAGCGGTGCGTGTCCTGCTACTACGAACCCCGTCCCCGAATTTCCATGGGCCCGCATCAAGTCGTGAGCGGTTTTTTATTTTCAAGTACAAGCGGATACCTGGTGCAGATGTGCCAGTGGTTAAAAAAAAAAAAAAAAAAAAGAACAAGAAAAAAAAGGCAAGCACACATGGCTCAATGGTACGTCCATGGACTGTAAACAGGTAGACCTGAGCTCGAAACCTCGGCGCGAAGCGAGAAAAACTCCACAACAGAACACTGTTCTCACAGGATTGGCTTGCTATGTACCTGTATCTGAATATGAGGGAGGGCCAGACCCCCTCGTCAAAGTTGATGCCAGTGTGAGAACCCCCTTTATAGAACCCAATGGCGGCGAGAGGATACCTCACCACCTCAGAGCTCCATCCTCTCGCCTTCCCGAAGCTCCACCCTCTCGCTGCTCCGAAGCTCCTGAACCGAAAAGGTGTTCTCATTTTTTGCATATCCGGTGAGCCCGCCCGGGAAATAAAGAAGTGGCTGTTCATCTTGCCATGTTCTGGGTCTGGAGACTCTAGACTCGTTCACATTTTGCATATTTGATGTGATGGAAACAGGTGGTGGGTAGACCTCACCTCGAAACTTAATACTGAAAAAAAAAAGAAACCTACCCAGAGAACAGCTGTGAGATCGGGGGCCAAGTCCCATGAGTAGCGTTGAGTGTCCTCAATGCCTGTATCTGGACATGTTTGTGGAGATGTGCGGTTGAGGAAACTCAACACGATTTTCTGCACACCTCCACAAACATGTCCAAATTTGGGTGCTGAGGAAACTCGATGCTGCTAGTGGGACTTGGCCGTGGGTCTCGTTAGACTAAAAAAGTGATTGTTGACCTAAACCATCTCATTGCTGATATGGCTCAGCTTCCGAACCATATGTGAGACTTTCGCTTCATATGGCTCTTCTCAGAATCTATATTGATAATTGCTCTTTCTTATGGTATGGATTCAATTCAAATGTTTCTGTAACCTAAGACTCCAGTAAATTAGAAGAGCGGGGAAGGGGGATTGGGGTAGATATGGAGGGAATGTCGCACGGAAGGTGGCGCCTCATGCAGATTTTGAGGCGCTCATACTTGGTACGTCGGCCGGTCGAGGGGTCAGGCTTGGTGGAGTATACAACACATAGCGGGGTGTGCATGGCGCAGCCTACGAACGAAATGATGTACTTGCAGAACACATATGTGCGTGCTAAGAGTCGTGTGCAAACTGCTGGAGGGGGCCGCCAGCTGGTCACGAAAGGTGAAGCGGGAATGGGGAGGCCACATGGAGGAAGAGTGGACGTTGGGTAGAGGCCTGTGGCAAGGGGAAATCGATGCGGGGAGACACGATTGTCACTTATCTAGTGCCGATGGTCGGGTTAAGGGACTGGCTTATAAACGAGAAGGTAGAAAAGTTGCACCCTGCAGGGGTGCAAGGCCAAGTGTTGCATCAACCGTGGAAGCTGCCAGCAGAGATGTATGCGGCCGAAATGGTTTGACTGAAAATGGTGGCCATGGGTGAA